AGAAAACAAAGAATATAGAACCTTATAGACCATTATAAGAATCTTTTTTGTCTAATGTCATGGGAAACTGTTAAAGGGATTTGAAAGCAAAAGTTATATGATGTCATTTAGATATGATATGCTTAGCTTAGTGGAACAAGAAAGTAAGCAGGTCACCAATTTGAGGGCTACTGCAGTAGTAAAATAGTGGTAGCTCAGACTGTGATAGACATGGTGGTAACAACTGATCAGAAGTTACTATACATATTAAAGAATAAGTTGACTATGCTTGCTAATGGATTGTAAGCTTGATAAGAATTAAAGAACTAGGCTTTTGGTTTATCCTACTGGTAAAAGGTGGTTGCATTTACTGAGATGGTTTAAGCTAGTGTATGGAAAAAGGGAGAATTGAAAGTTCTCTTTGGACAAGTTATGATTGAGATACTTATTACATCATATTTGAAGATTTCAAGTAGGCAGTTAGATGATTAATGTGGAACTCAGGTAAGATAAAAACTAGAAGTATACACATAAAGGAACACAATAAAATAAAAAGGCAACCTATGGGATAGGAGAAAACACTTATAAATCATATATCTGACAAGAGGTTAATATCTAGAATGTATAAAGAAATCTTACAACTCAACATCAGAGAAACCAAGCAACTTGGGGAAAGGATTTTAATAGACATTTCTTCAGAGAAGATAAACAAATGGCCAACAAGCACATGAGAAGATGCTCACATCACTAGTGATTAAGGAAATGCAAATCAAAACCACAATGAATCTCACATCCATTAGGATGACTGCTGTCAAAAACCAAAATAACAAGTGTTGGTGAGGATGTGGAGAAATTGGAACCTTGTATTGGTGGGAGTGTAAAATGGTACAGCCACTGTGGGAAACAGTATGATGGTTCCTCAAAAAATAAAAAATAGAATTACTAAAAGATCTAGCAGTTCCACTTCTGGATATATAACCCAAAGAATCAAAAGCAGCAACTTTAACAGGTATTTGTATACCCATGTATACATAATGGCAGCACAATACACAGTAGCCAAAGGTTGGAAGCAACCTAGGTGTTCATCAAAAGATGAGTGGATAAACAAAATGTGTGTGTGTGTGTGTGTGTGTGCACATGCGTACACACACACACATATATATTATATATAATGTAATGTTACCCAGCCTTAAAAGGGAAGTAATTCTGACACATACTACAGCGTGGATTAGCATGTTGAGGACATTATTCTAAGTGAAAAATACAAGTCACAAAAAGACAGATACTGTATGATTTCACTGATATGTAGTATCTAGAATAATCTGTAGGAACAGAAGTAGAATGATGGGTGCCAGGAACTGGGGGAGGAAGGGATGGAAGGGAGTTATTAATGAGCTCAGAGTTTCTGTTCTGCAAGTTGCAGAAGTTCTGGAGATTGGTTGTACAAAAATGTGAACATACCTAACACTGCTGAATTATATACTTTAAAATAGTTAAAATGTTAAATTTTATGTTATGTATATTATGCCACAATCAGGTTTGTTTTTTTTTTTAAGTTAGAGTTATAGGGGTGCCTGAATGGCTCAGTCAGTTGAGTGACCAACTTTGGCTCAGTTCATGATCTCATGGTTTGTGGGTTTGAGCCCTACATCCAGCTTGCTGCTGTCAGCACGGAGCCCACTTTGGATCCTCTTTCCCCTCTCTCTATCCCTTCCCTACTTGTACTCTCTCAATAATAAATTTAAAAAAAAATTTTAAATCTAGAGTTGTAAATTTAGGACTTAGGAGTATATGACTAGAACTTAACCCAGACCTGTCATAGGGAAAGAGTATATTGATGGCTAGCCAGAGCCTGGGTTCTGGGACATTCTAATATTTAGAGGTCAGGTAGTAAAAGAGTATGCACTAGGGGGAACTGAATACAAAGAGAAAGGTAGGAAGATAACTAGGAGAATATGGTATATAGGAAGCTGAGGGATTGATCATTTGTGTCAAATACTGCCAACGAGTCAAGTAGAGTGATGACTAGCACTAGAGCAGTGATTTTGGCAAAGTGATTTTGTTAGTGACCTTAGCTAGAAAATTTTCAACATAATTATGGGAGTTGAAATATTTATTGGAATGGATTACAGAGAAAGGTAGGCAGTACTGTATTTTCAGTAAATTGGTGCTGAGCCAATTGGATAACTATATGAAAAACTAGGCATCTAGGGGCGTCAGGGTGGCACAGTCAGTTAAGCATCTGATTTTGGCTCAGATCATGATCTCATGGCTCATGAGATTGAGCCCTGCATCAGGCACTGTGCTGACAGCTCAGAGCCTGGAGCCTGCTTCGGGTTCTGTGTCTCCCTCTCTCTCTCTGCCCCTCCCCCACTCACATTCTGTCCTTCTCTCTCAAAAGTAAATAAACATTAAATTTTTTAAAAACAAAAAAACGTAGGCATCTTGATTTCTTCTTCATATCCTAAGATCTAATTTAGGTAATCATAGATCTATATATGAAAAGTAAAATAGTAAAAGCTCCTAGAATATACAGTATGAGTATATTTTCATGACCTTGGGATTAGACTGCCTTAAAATTAAGAACTTCTATTCATCAAAACATACTATTAAGAGAGTGAAAGTGCCAGCCCTAGAGTGTGAGAAGATATTTGCAATTTGTTGGTTATATTCAGAATATATTAAGACGTCGTACAAGAAAAAAAAGAACAGTACAATCCAGAAACTACTCAAGTGACCCTTGACTGATGAATGGATAAGCAATAGATGGTATATCTGTACAATGGAATATTACTTGGCCATAAAAAAGGAACGAAGTACTGATACATATTATAACCTGGTTGATCCTTGAAAACATTATACTGAGTGAAAAAAGACACAAAAGGTACATATTTAATTATTCCATTTGTATGAAATATCCAGAATAAATAGATTCATATAGATACAAAGCAGATTAGTGGTTGCCAAGGACTGGGGAGAATAGGGGAATAGGAAATCACTGTGGGTATGGGGATTCTTTTTGGCATGATGAGAATGTTCTGGAATTAGTGATCTGATGGTTGCACAACATTGAGAATGTATTAAAAGTTATTGAATTGTATACTTCAAAATTTTTTTTACATTTATTTTTGAGAGACTGAGACAGTGTGCAAGTGGGGGAGGGACAGAGAGAGAAGGAAACACAGAATCCAAAGCAGGTTCCAGGCTCTGAGCCAGCATTCAGCCCAGAGCCCAACACGGATCTTGAACCCATGAACTGTGAGATCATGACCTGAGCTGATAGTCGAACGTTCAACTGACTGAGCCACCCAGGTGCCCCTGAACTGTATACTTCAAAATGATGAAACTGGTAGATTTTATGTTACATAAATTTTACCACACACACACACATACACACACACAATCAGTAAAAATGGACAAAAAGCCTGAGTTGGCATTTTATTAAAAAATGTATCCAGTTGGCCAATAAACATATGAAAAAGTGCTCAACCTCACTAGTCATCAGGGAAATTGCAAATTAAGCCACAATGCAGTATCATGACATTTCTACCAGGATTCCTGAATATAAGATTGACAATAACAAGTGTGGGGGAGGACATGAGGAACTGGAACTCTTTTACAGTTAGATGAGAAAATGAGGAAACTATTGGATAGTGTCAGCCAAAGCTGAACAAATGCATATTCTGTGTGCAACAGTTTCACTTAAAAATATATACATTTAGTAGAAAGGAGTCCTATTTCCACCAAAAGAAATGTACAAGAAGGTTCATAGCAGTACTAATCGTAATAGCCAGCAATTGAAAACAACCCGTATGTCATCCTTAGGAAAATGAAAAAATAAATTGTGTTAGAATAGAATGCTTTGTATAGCTGTCAGTCTTAAGCTTTTTCTTCTGAAACAGCCTCTGAAAGGCTCTAAGATAGGAAAGACTTTGGAATGTCCTAATTGTTGAAAGGAGATTAATGTTGTAGCACATGGATAAAAGGGAAGAGAACTCAAAATGAGGTCTGGTAAGTCGGCAGAGGCCCTTTGTTCTCATGTTAAAGAATTGGATTTTTAAATTTCAGTTCAATAGGAAGCTGCATTAGTTTGGTTATAGGTTTGGCTGCATGTGACAGAGACTCAAAAGTAATAACGGCTTAGACCATAATGGGTTAATTTTCTTTTGCATTACAGTCCAGGCTGGAGCGGAAGTTCTGCTCTGCAAAGCCATCATATGACATGGCACCATATCCACAGTGGAGTCTGAGGAAATGGGAGAATAAAGATACAGGGCATGGGCCAGCTGGCTCTTAAACTTTCAGAAGCTACTATATAATATTTATGTTTTTTTTTTTTTTTTAAGGCAGAATCCAGTTACATGGCATATTCTTCTGCAAAAGAACCTGGGAAATGCAGCGTTTATATTGGACAGCATTGTTCTCAACTAAAAACCATTGGTTAAATCCAGATATTAAAGGGGAATAATAGACATTTGGGGACAATTAGCAGTCTCCATCTCATAATCCTTTGGCTTGGTGGAAAGTGTTAAACATATGCTTTTGTAAATTCTGAATCAATTGATCTCATTCTAAAATCATCTCTGGAAGATATGGATTCATTTGATCGAGAATGTTTCCTAAACGTCCATAATTACAGTAAACCCTGAGGTAGATCAAAATTTCAGAACAATTGGGGCACCTGGCTGGCTCAGTTGGTGGAGTGTGTGACCCCTGGTCTTGGGGTTGTGGGTTTGAGCCTCATGTTGGGTGTAGAGATTACTTAAAAATAAAATCTTTAAAAAATTTAAAAACCATTGACTTGGTTTGTTAATTAACTCCCTCACTTTCTCTTATGAGCTCTCATTTTTCTGTGTTTTCCTTACCATTTTTTTTTCCATTCAGTTGCATGATGATATTTTAGAGCTCTCCAAGACTTTCATCTTCTTTGTGAATTATTTTCAATTATCTCTCTTTGCTACTATAGATATTTTTTCTTCTCACACAAAACAAGCAATTAAAGTATGTTTGTTATCTTTCAGACTTGCTGTCCAGGTGTGAGGCCAAGAAGTTATCTCCAAAAAGAGATATTTATGAGACCGAGTCATCCCGATGGGCTATCATGGAAGAATTAAAAAGTCATAATCCTGAGAAATCCATTTTCAGAGATATTTGGGAATGCAATACTCCATTTGAGACACAACAGGAAAAAGAGGGCTATTTCAGGCCATATGTTATCAGCCATGAACACATGCCTGCATTTAACCAACATTCTTTACTAACTCAGGAATTTTATAGTAGAGAGAAAATCTATGGATGTAAAGAATGTAGAAAAAACTTCAGTTACCATTTACTTTTTAGTGATCACAGAAGAACCCATACTAAAGAAAAACTTTCTGAATGTAAGGAATGTGCAGAAATTCTTAATACGTCGTACCTTACTCAACAGAGAATTCAAAATAGTAACAAGTGCAATGAATGTAAGGAATGTTGGAGGGCTTTTATTCATTGTCCACAACTTAAACACCTGAGAATCCATAATGGCGAAAAACGCTATGAATGTAAAGAATGTGGGAAGGCCTTTAATTATGGCTCGGAACTTATTCTGCATCAGAGAATTCACACTGGTGAAAAACCTTATGAATGTAAAGAATGTGGGAAGGCCTTTAGGCAGCGATCACAGCTTACTCAACATCAGAGACTTCATACTGGTGAAAAGCCTTATGAATGCAAGCAGTGTGGGAAGGCTTTTATTCGTGGCTTTCAACTCACTGAACATCTGCGACTCCATACTGGTGAGAAACCCTATGAATGTAAAGAATGTGGAAAGAGTTTTAGGCATCGCTCACACCTTACCATACATCAGAGGATTCATACTGGTGAGAAACCCTATGAATGTAGAGAATGTGGAAAGGCCTTTAGCTATCACTCAAGCTTCTCTCACCATCAGAAAATTCATTCTGGCAAAAAACCTTATGAATGTAGTGAATGTGGGAAAGCCTTTTGTGATGGCTTACAACTTACCCTACATCAGAGGATTCATACTGGTGAGAAACCCTATGAATGCAAGGAATGTGGGAAGACTTTTAGACAGTGCTCACATCTCAAAAGACATCAGAGAATTCATACTGGTGAGAAACCTCATGAATGTATGATATGTGGTAAGGCCTTTAGACTTCATTCACACCTTATTCAACATCAGAGAATACATACTGGTGAGAAGCCCTATGAATGTAAGGAATGTGGAAAGACCTTTAGCTATCATTCAAGCTTCTCACACCATCAGAGAATTCATTCTGGGAAGAAACCTTATGACTGTGGAAAGGCCTTTAATCATGGCTTACAATTTAATATACATCAGACACTTCATACTGTTGAGATGCCAGTAAAGTTTCCTCTTCTCTCTCCCCATCCTAGTCTAGCATCATGAAATTATTTTTGAAATTTACATTTTCTTTTTTTAATTTAAAAGTTGGTAAAATACTGAATTTCATTAGTATTGATTTATTTCAATGATCCTTGAGAAAAAAACAAAACAAAACAAAACTTCGGGACACCTGGGTGGCTCAGTCGGTTAAGCATCTGACTTAGGCTCAGGTTATGATTTCATGGTTTGTGGGTTCAAGCCCCATGTCGGGCTCTGTTTAAACAGCTGAGAACCTGGAGCCTGCTTCGGATTCTGTGTCTCCCTCTCTCTCTCTGCCCCTCCCCCACTCTCACTCTGTCTTTCTCTTTATCAAAACTAACATTAAAAAAAATTTTTTTTAAAGAAAAATACTTCAAGCAGGAAAATGGAAAAGTTATTAACAGGTAAAAATTGCTCTAGTTCCAATGCTGTTTCTGAGTTATTATAATAACCAGTATTGGAAATAAATTTTATAAAATAAGTGTTTTCACTGAAACCAGTGAAGTGGCAGAAATAAAGTGAAAACAATTTCTTCCCCTCCCACAAATCTGTGAGAGCCACTAGGTTGGTGTTGCTCCATCCTGCTCAGACATACTTGCAAGTATAAAGAGTTTATTGCATGTATGTGGAAGGTTTTACAGCATATAGTGACATATTTCATGGCAATTTCTTTTTGCACGTAAATAATTGTGGACATTTTTCCAGGGGAATACATATAGATCTAACTCATTGTTTTTAAAGCTTCCGAATATTTCTAGTATTTCAGTGTTTTAAGCCATTCCCTACTGTAGACATTCGAATGTTCTATTTCTTTTTCATCAGAAATGATCATAACAATAAATATTCTTAAATCACCATTCTTTTATTTCCATTGGGTAGGTTACCAAACATAACAGTATGTAGTTTTGATGTTACATTAATTTTTTAGTTAAAAAATCCAGGCAATAAAAATACATGCTACAAAATTCAAAAGTTATCAAACAAGTACAGTAAAAATTAAAGCTTTCTTAATACCTGATACTATAGTACCAGCTGTCAGTTCTTTTGTTTTCTTACAGGGATTAAATTTTTTTAATTCTTTGGATGAAAGTGGATTAATCATAATCTTTATTTTATGAAATCTCATCATTCCAAATTTAGTCCTCTTTCATTTATTTTCACTATTTCCCAGGGATTTACAAACAATTTACTGCCTTTCTTCTCCAAATCCTTCATTGCCTGCAATCCTTTACTATAATATTGGAACTCTCTCTTTTGTTTATAATATTTATTTGAGTCCTCTCTCTGTCTCTCTGTTTTTGGTTAAGACAGACTAGCTAAAAGTTTTTGAACTTTATATTTTCAAAGGGCCGACCCTTGAAAATTTTATTGATCTTTTCTATTCTTTTAAGTGTCTTTCATTTATATGTGCTCTTAAGTTTATCATTTCCTTCCTTATGCAAACTTTGGGCTTAGTTCTTTATTGTAGTTCTTTGGGGTGTAAAGTTAGTTACTTAAGACTTTTTTCTCCCTTGGGGAGCCTGCGTGGCTCATTCGGCTAAGTGTCTGACTTCTGCTCAGGTCATGATCTTGCGGTTGTGATTTCAAGCCCCGCATCGGGTTCTGTGCTGGCAGCTCAGGGCCTGGAGCCTGTTTCAGGTTCTGTGTCTCCCTCTCTCTCTGCCTCTACCCCAATCGTGCTCTCTCTCTGTCTCAAAAATAAATAACCCAAAAAGTTTTTTTTCTCCCTAATGTAAGCTTTTATCCCTGTAAACTCCCCTCTTAGTACTGCATTTGTTATATCCCATATGTTTGTTGCCATTTTCATTTTTCTTAAGATATTCTCTGATTTCCATTTTGATTTCTGTTTTGATCCATTGGTTGTTCAGGAGTGTGTACTCCTGAATATCTATAATTTTCACATATTTGTGAATTTTCCAATTTTCCTTCTGTTAATGATTTGTAGTTTCATACTATTATGGTCAAAAAAGTTACTGATAAGATTTCAATCTTAAATGTGCTAAGACTTGTCATACAGCCTAACATATGATCTATTCTGGAGAATGTTGTGTGTGTTATTGAGAAGAATGTGTATTCTGCTGCTGTTGGATGGAGTGTTCTGTGTATGTCCATTAGTTCCATTTGGTCGAAAGTGTTATTCAAGTCCACTCTTTCCTTACTGATTTTCTGTCTGAAAAGAGCAATTGTTGAAAGTGGGATATTGAAGTTCTCTACTATCTTTTTATTGTTATCTACTTCTCCCTTCAGATCTGTCAGTATTTGCTTTATATATTTAAATGCTTTGGTGTAGAATGCATGTATATTTACAATTGTTATATCTCCTTTATGAATTGATCACTTATCATATAATGACTTGTGACAGATTTTGACTAAAAGTCTATTTTTACTGATATAAGTATAACCACCCCTTCTCTCCTTTGGTGAGCATTTGCACAGAATATCTTTTTTTATCCTTTCAGTTTTAGCCTTTATGTGTCCTAAAGCTAAAGTGATTGATTCTCTTCTAGCCAGCATATTTTAGCTGCCGCCTTCTTCTTCTTCTTCCTTCTTCCTTCTCTTCCTCCTCCTCCTCCCCCCTCCTCCCTCTCCCCCTTCTCCCCTCCCCCTCCTCCCTCCTCCTCTCTTTCTTCTTCTGTCCATTAAGCTACTCTATGGCCTTGATTGGAGAATTTATTTTTTTAACTAGCAAATTTTATGTTCTATGTATTTTACCAGAATGAAAAAAAAAAAGAGTTGCCAGAATAATCTTTCTTGAGAATAATGCAGTAATATGCATCCAGGTCTCAAATTGCTGCATACCCTTTGGCCCAACAATTCCACTTTTCCCAAATAAATAATCATAATATGTGCAAAGATTTGTCTGTAAGATGGTTGCAGTAGCCATTGTTGCTTTTGTGCCCTAACTTCCTCCTCCTCCTGGTTACAGCATCTGGATTTCTACTGGGAAATGACTCAACCATAATTGTCTCTCCTTGAGGAGACTAAGTGATCTTACTACGCCAGTTGGATTTCTCTCCAGGGAAATCTGGAGACCAAAGAGTATGGCCAAGCACGCCATTTATTCTATAGAGTGTCATTGGTGCTGCCTCCTGGGTTCCATGTTGTCCTGGATTCCATCCTCTCTAAGCTGTGTGCTTTAGATTTTCAACTACCCCATTTCTTCTCTGCTTAAGTTCCCTAGATTTCTTCCTTCCCTCTTTTTCCTATGGCCAAAAAATCTTAATTGGTTCAATGATCATTACAGCATTATGTTTAAAGGGGGGAAAAGGCTGCAAACAATTAAAAGTTCAATAAATTAATTATAGGAAAAATTATAATAGATTGAACTAGGGACATTTTTCAGTCCCTAAAAATTAGATTTTAGAAGAATAATTAATGATGTCAAAAGATGTTCATTATAGCGTGTAGAAAAAGAGCAGTCTCAACACTTCCACACACCACCCCATGTTCATCAAAAGTACCCTCCTTATCCCCATCACCTTTTTTTTTCTTAAATAGTTTATTGTCAAGTTGGTTTCCATATAACACCCAGTACTCATCCCAACAAGTGCCCTCCTCCATGCCTATCACCCATTTCCCCTCTCTCACCCCCATCAACCCTCAGTTTTTACTTAGTATTTAAAAGTCTCTTACGGTTTGCCTCCCTCCCTCTCCTTAACTATGTTTTTTCCCCTTCCCCTCCGCTATGGTCCTCTGTTAAGTTTCTCCTGATCCACATATGAGTGAAAACATATAGCATCTCTGCCTGACTTATTTCACTTATTGTGATATCTTTTATAATTACATGATACCTTTACTGGTGCTTTTTTGGTACCATCTAGGGTCTCTTGCTTTCATTATGAAGAACTTTCTTTAGTGTATCTTATAAGGTAGGTCTGTTACCAACAGATTCTCGGTTTTGGTTTACTGGCAATGTTTTTATTTCACCACTTTTTAAAGGCAGTTTTACTTGCATATAAAATTTTTTGTGTACGGATTCCCCCCACCCCCTTCAACTCGACCCTGACTCCTCCCAGAGCTTTGAATATGTTATCCCATTGTCTTGTGGTCTTCATTGTTTTATCTGATAAGAGATCTACTGTTCACTTTATTGGGGCTCTCTTGTAAGTGATGAGCCTTTCTGTTGCTTTCAAGATTTTCTTCTTGACTAGCTTTTAGCAATTTTACTATGAGGTCTTTGCAGATCTTTATTTAGTTTCTTTAGCTTCTTGGATGTGTATATTAAAGTTTTTCAGTAAATTGGGAATTTTTCAGCCATTATTTCTTAAATGTTTTTACTGATTCTCTCCTTTACAAGTTTGTTGGCAATCTTAATGTCCTACATTTCTCTGAGGCTCTGCTCACTTTTCTTCATTCTTTTTTCTCTCTGTTCTTTGAATTACATGATCTCCATAATGCTCATATTCATTTCTTTTGCCGGCTCGAATTTGTTGAGTTCCTCAAGTTAGTTTTTTCATTTTGATCACTGCAGTCTTAAAATCCACAATTTCTATTTGGTTCTCTATAATTTCTATTTCTTTATTAATGTTTGCTCTTTGATGAAGCATTGTCATCATATTTTCTTTACCTTCTTTAACATAATTTTAATGGCTATTTTGATGTCCTTTTCTGATAACTGTGATACTTGGGCCCTCTCATAGACATTTTCTTTTTAATTTTTTTTATAGTTTATTTTTGAGACAGAGAGAGACAGAGCATGAGCAGGGGAGGAGCAGAGAGAGAGGGAGACACAGAATCCAAAACAGGCTCCAGGCTCTGAGCTGTCACCACAGAGCCTGATGCGGCGCTTGAACCCACGAATCGTGAGATCATGACCTGAGCTGAAGTCGGACGCTTAACCAGCTGAGCCACCCAGGCGCCCCTCTCATAGACATTTTCTATTGCTTGCTTTTTTCCTGTTTCTCTGTATGTCTCATAATTTTTTGTTTAAAGTTGACACTTGTGGTAATATATTGTGTTGTATATTTTAGCAAGTCTGGGTACTGATTGTCCCATCCTGCTTTCTGAACATTGATAATCTTTGG